AGACCTTATCCACTCAAATTGGTTCACTGGGCCCACATTCTTATGGAACAATGAGATTGTCACAGATCAAAGCACGTCTGAGCTTATGGTGGGAGATCCGGAAATCAAAACAATACAAGTGCTACAAACCAAAGCTACGCTACAGTGCAACGTCAAAGAGCTCCTGTCACGATTCTCAAAATGGATTACTGCAATAAATGTCATTGCTCGAATCCAACGCATGGCTAAAGGACTAAAACGGCAGAACCACCAAATGTAGGAGAAAGACAACATGCAACATTAACTCTTGTCAAGCTTGCACAACAAGAGGCATTTCAAAAGGACATGAGCAATCTCAGTCAATCACAAAGGTTGCCTCACAATCACAGACTGTATGAACTGGATCCATTTCTGCAAAATGGTGTAATGAGAGTTGGAGGTAGGCTTAAAAATGCCTCTTCACATTTTGAGTTGAGACATCCAGTAATACTACCTAAAGACTGTACTTTAACAAATCTCATTATTGCACACTTCCATGAAAAGACCCAGCATCAAGGCAGAGGCCAAACCTTGAATGAGATCAGAGCAAACGGCTTCTGGATTGTTGGAGGAAGTAAAGCAGTAGCGCAGTACATCAGACAATGTGTATGGTGCAGGAGAGTTCGTGCCCCACTAGAGCAACAGAGAATGGCAGATCTACCTAGCGACCGCACTGATCCATCGCCACCATTCACTTATTGTGGCATGCACTGCTTTGGCCCCTTTTACACCAAACAATGTCGAAAGGTATGCAAACGGTACGGCCTTCTGTTCACATGTCTGAGCTCTAGAGCAATTCATCTTGAGATGTTAGAGGACATGACAACTGATGCGTTCATCAACGCCCTAAGATGCTTTATAGCTATTCGTGGATCTGTGAGACAGATCAGATCAGATCAAGGATCGAACTTCAAGGGAGCAAAAAATGAACTGACAAAGGCTCTTAATGAAATGGACAAAGACAGAGTCAAATCTTACCTGGCAGAAAAGCAATGTGACTTTCTCATGAACGCACCAAGCTCAAGTCACGCTGGAGGAGCATGGGAGCGACAAATCAGGACAGTGAGGAGCGTGCTGAGTCAAGTTCTTTCCCAAAGTGCTGAAAGGCTGAATGATGCATCCTTAAGAACTTTTCTTTATGAAGCAATGTACATTGTAAACAGCCGCCCACTTACAGTCAATTGTCTAAATGACCCCACAAGTTTAGAGCCCATAACACCTAACCATCTTATCACCATGAAAGGTTCTGTACCACTTCCCCCACCTGGCAACTTTGTTAGGGAAGATGTGTATGCAAAGAAACGCTGGAGAAGAGTCCAATACCTGTCCGAACAGTTTTGGAGCAGGTGGAGTAGAGAATATCTTTCCAACATAACACTAAGACAGCGTTGGCATGCATCAAAACGTAATATGAGAGTTGGTGATATTGTCATTGTTAAAGATGAGAACATTCCTCGTAATGAATGGACACTTGGTAAAGTTATTGAAGTACATGAGGGTGATGATGGACTGGTGAGAAAGGTAACTTTACAAATCGGAGACAAAAAACTGGGAAGAAAAGGTGAACGCTTACATAAGCCTACTCTTATACAAAGACCTATTCAAAAGTTGGTTGTACTTGTTGAGAGTAATTAAATGGTATTAGACCTATATTTGTTATATTGTTATTGTTGAAATGTTATTTTTGTTTTGTTTTTGGAAATTACCCTTGATATTTGTTTAATGTATAAAGTATAACATCGTCATTATTATAAAGGTAATTTGGTGGGAGTGTAACTGGCGCTAGGTTACCATGACAACTCAAGTTATAGCTGAGTATAACTGACGCTTTGGTTGCCATGACAACTCTGATCATTTTTGCTGCCGTTTAAGTTTGCTTCTCAAAGAAGAAGTTGAGAAGTATTTTAAAGTATGCTGTTATAAAGAGACGTTTTTGCAGCTTGGAAAGAGTGTTATTCTACGATTGGTCTACTAAGGCGCACACGGTAACCTTTTTATTTCATTGTGTCTTTTATTTTGAGACCTGATTCTTATTGTGTGAGTTACTGTATGGAAATTTACTCTCCTCCTTTATCTTTGTAGTTTTCACGGTGTTCCAAATGCCTGTATGAAATTAAATGCTGCTGGACATCAGTCGAGGCGTTAAGTCCTTTATTGTTGGAGATCAACGTAGTTACAGTTTGTACGGACTACCCATGAAGGCACCACATACTCTGCTGACAAACCCGTTATTATTATAGACCCATGAGACAAACGTGCGAGCCGACAAGCAACACGTCTGTACTGTACTATGACAGAGTGCAAAGTGAACGTACAAATGCAATCTCATCATTTTATGTCAGTGAACACATTACACTGTCCTCTACACTTCTCCATAGACCTCACAGAGACAGCAGCAGCCGCGACTCTGCAGCTGTGTACACAGCCGATACTGACTCTTCTGCACACTGACAAAAACAACGCAGAAAGTATAGAAAGCGGTGTTAGGAATCACAATCACTGACATGCAGATTCGCAGGATAAGTATTATCACAGGACGTCTGTGTTTGGACAATACTGGAGGTCATTTGCGGCAAATTACAGACATGGCGCATTCGCACGGGATTTATGTCCTCCGTTATTATCACTAATTACCAGCCCACTACAGTCTCTGGGTCCCGGGCTGAAGTAAACAAGTTTGTTTTAAATGCACAATAAAAAAGGTCCATTATTGCATTTTATAGTTTCCAAATCAGGTTATTACAATATACATGTCTTATAAGAAATGAAAAAAATCCAAAATGGTCATTTTTGTATATTGCCGTGTGCCTGAAAGTGCAAAATAGCCTTTTTTCAATTTTCCATTTTCCTTCCAAAATAGAAAATGTATTGCACGCAAAAGTACACGGACCTGGTCCAATCGCAAAGATCTTTCTGTTTATACAAAGGCCTATTCTAAATGTATTAAAATATCTGTATCTCCTAAAGTTAAAGAGACTCATTTCAAGATAATTAATCACATTTACCCAGTGGGCAACTTTCTTAAAAGACGATTTAAATTTGAAGTTGAATCTTGTACATTTTGTAACATTGAAGATGAATCACTAGATCATTTATTTTTCCATTGTCGTTACACTCAGCAGTTTTGGTCTGATGTCAATAGTTGGCTTAATCTCAAAATGAAAATTCAACCTGTGAACATATCTCATATATTGTATTACATGGTCATTTCAGACTCTCCTGCTGAAACTGTTGTTAATGTTGTCCTAATGTTAGCCAAATATCACATCCACTGTAGTTGCGAAAGTATTTGGCCCCCTTGAACCTTTCAACATTTCGCCACATTTCAGGCTTCAAACATAAAGATATACAATTTTAATTTTTTTTCATGAATCAACAACAAGTGGGACACAATCGTGAAGTGGAACAAAATTTATTGGATAATTTAAACTTTTTTAACAAATAAACTGAAAAGTGGGGCGTGCAATATTATTCGGCCCCTTTACTTTCAGTGCAGCAAACTCACTCCAGAAGTTCAGTGAGGATCTTTGAATGATCCAATGTTGTCCTAAATGACTGATGATGATAAATAGAATGCACCTGTGTGTAATCAAGTCTCCGTATAAATGCACCTGCTCTTTGATAGTCTCAGGGTTCTGTTTAAAGCGCAGAGAGAACCATGAAGACAAAGGAACACACCAGGCAGGTCCGAGATACTGTTGTGGAGAAGTTTAAAGCCGGATTTGGATACAAAGAGATTTCCCAAGCTTTAAACATCTCAAGGAGCACTGTGCAAACAATTATATTGAAATGGAAGGAGTATCAGACCACTGCAAATCTACCAAGACCCGGCCGTCCCTCCAAACTTTCATCTCAAACAAGGAGAAGACTGATCAGAGATGCAGCCAAGAGGCCCATGATCACTCTGGATGAACTGCAGATAACTACAGCTGAGGTGGGAGAGTCTGTCCATAGGACAACAATCAGTCGTGCACTGCACAAATCTGCCCTTTATGGAAGAGTGGCAAGAAGAAAGCCATTTCTCAAAGATATCCATAAAAAGTCTCGTTTAAAGTTTGCCACAAGCCACCTGGGAGACACACCAAACATTTGGAAGAAGGTTTTCTGGTCAGATGAAACCAAAATCGAACTTTTTGGCCACAATGCAAAATGATATGTTTGGCGTAAAAGCAACACAGCTCATCACCCTGAACACACCATCCCCACTGTCAAACATGGTGGTGGCAGCATCATGGTTTGGGCCTGCTTTTCTTCAGCAGGGACAGGGAAGATGGCTAAAATTGATGGGAAGATGGATGGAGCCAAATACAGGACCATTCTGGAAGAAAACCTGTTGGAGTCTGCGAAAGACCTGAGACTGGGACGGAGATTTATCTTCCAACAGGACAATGATCCAAAACATTAAGCCAAATCTACAATGGAATGGTTCACAAATAGACGTATCCAGGTGTTAGAATGGCCAAGTCAAAGTCCAGACCTGAATCTAATCGAGAATCTGTGGAAAGAGCTGAAGACTGCTGTTCACAAACGCTCTCCATCCAACCTCACTGAGCTCCAGCTGTTTTGCAAGGAAGAATGGGAAAGAATTCCAGTCTCTCGATGTGCAAAACTGATAGAGACATACCCCAAGCGACTTGCAGCTGTAATTGCAGCAAAAGGTGGCGCTACAAAGTATTAGCGCAAGGGGGCCGAATAATATTGCACGCCCCACTTTTCAGTTTTTTATTTGTTAAAAAAGTTTAAATTATCCAATAAATTTCGTTCCACTTCACGATTGTGTCCCACTTGTTGTTGATTCATGACAAATAATTTTTTTTTTATATCTTTATGTTTGAAGCCTGAAATGTGGCGAAATGTTGAAGGGTTCAAGGGGGCCGAATACATTCGCAAGGCACTGTATATGTTCTATTGTTTTTAATAAAGTTTATAAAAAAAATTAAAAAACTGTTGGCGTCTTGTTCCGTTCGGAGTCGCCCCTGAACCTGTCGCAGCTGCAGGTTCAGTGCGATCTTCCGGTCCCTGGACTTGTTGATCCCGTCTCTCATCAGGTCCAGGTCCAGATTTCCTGCTGCATCAGAGTCTTGTCCTGACTTCTTGCAGTGGTCCATCCATTTGGCCACATCTCTTCCAAAGCTCCTCCAGTTCTTGTTTGAGGTTTCCCAAAGAAACTTCAGACGGAGCATTCTTCTGAAGCAGCTTTGTGTTTTCTGCCTCAGTCTTCAGGAGTTGTGACGTTGCTTCCTCTGTTTGAAGGCAGAGGACTTGTCTTTCCAAGAGCCATTCTTGGGTTTGTCTTTGTGTTTCTCTGTCTTTGAGTTCAGTGACCTGGGCTTGTCAAACTCTTGTGACTGAACAGAGACAAAGTGAGAGGATGTGTTTTATTTCACACTCATGGTTTTACTGGAAAATACACATTTAAACCCAACATTCATTCACGACAGAAATATGTGAGATTGTATTTGTATAAAAACATGTATTGTTGATTTCTCATATCGCTGCAGTGAAGGTCTCTGTGTGTATGTGTGTCTGCGTGTGTTAGTGTGTGTGTGTGTATGTGTGGCTTTGTGTGTATGTATGTTAGTGTGTGTGTGTGTGTGTGTGTATGTGTGTGTGAGTGAAGATAACACAGACAGAAGTGAAAGTCTGAAGAACACGGCTTCACTCCCTCCGCAGACGCTGCTCCGTGAGATCATCAGTCGGTGAGTCTGTGTGTGTTGCTAGTGTTAGCATTAGCATTAGGCAAAAGTTGCTAGTAAAGTGCATTGTTAATCAGTTTATTCAACGGATATTAATTCTTCTAATGTCAATTTTAAATCCACATTGTGCTGATGGTTACCGGTAACTCCCCTCCTCTCCTCCCCCATGTGGTCGTCCTGAGAGCAAGAGCCACACATCAGCAACTGGAGCTGGGGATAAAAGACAACATTTCACAGTTGAACAGACAAGTGTTTGTGCATAACCTTGGGGAAAGAGAGAGAGAGAGGGGGGGGGGGGGGGGGTGAAGTCTGCTGTCTGGAGAGAGTCCGTTATCAGCCTCGGCCTTGGCTCCTGTGGAATGTGAAGGAAACAGAAGCAGCACAGTCCTGTTCGGAGCAGACTGTATTTAGTGAAACATCAGGAGTTTCTCATGTGTTTGAGCCTTTCTCTGGTCTCCCTCTGGTCTCCCTCTGGTCTCCCTCTGGTCTCCCTCTGGTCTCCCTCTGGTCTCCTCTGGTCTCTCTCTGGTCTCTCTCTGGTTCTCTGTTCGGAGCAGAGTGTATTTAGTGAAACATGAGGAGTTTCTCATGTGTTTTGAACTGACCACAGAATCCTCACCGTAAAACTGAGCGCCACTCCCGCTGTATCCTCCAGGGGCAGACTTTAGTCACTCAGGGATTGGTCTCTCTCTGGTTTTTCTCTCTGGCCTCTCCACCCTACCTTTCTACTGGTTTATGTTGGTCCTCTCCTGTCTTTCTCCTTGTGTTATGCCGGTCCTCTCCTGTCTTTCTTCTAGTGTTATGCCGGTCCTCTCCTGTCTTTCTTCTAGTGTTATGCCGGTCCTCTCCTGTCTTTCTTCTAGTGTTATGCTGTTCCTCTCCTGTCTTTCTTCTAGAGTTATGCTGTTCCTCTCCTGTCTTTCTTCTAGTGTTATGCCGGTCCTCTCCTGTCTTTCTTCTAGTGTTATGCCGGCCCTCTCCTGTCTTTCTTCTAGAGTTATGCTGTTCCTCTCCTGTCTTTCTTCTAGAGTTATGCTGTTCCTCTCCTTTCTCCTTGCTAACTGAAGTACAGATGATGGGTGAGCAACCTTCCTTTGTTTTGACTAATCCCTGTACGACTGAGAGCTTACACAAAGTTCAACATTGTTTGTGTCTGTGTCTTTGTCCATGTCATTTCTCACTTCTACCTCCATGAGTGTAAATCTATATAATAATGATCTGACATGTCTTTTTTGTGTTTGTGGCAGATCTACAAAGTCCATCTACAAAATGGGGTTCACCTGTGATCAGTGTAGAAAGACCTGCAGCTCTGCTTCTGCACTAAAGAGACACCACAGAACTCACACTGGAGGAAAACCATACGTGTGTGATCAGTGTGGAACAGGTTTTACTACAGCTGCAAATCTGGAGCGCCACAGCAGAATCCACACTGGAGAAAAACCCTTCAGCTGTGACGTTTGTGGTCAGAGTTTTACACGAGAGAGTACTCGCAAGGTTCATCAGAGGATCCACACAGGAGAGAAACCATTTGAGTGTGACGAGTGTGGAAAAACGTTTCGGAGAAAAGACCAGCTCTCATCACATCAGCGTGTCCACACAGCAGAGAGACCTCACCAATGTGACCAGTGTGAGAAGACTTTTAAACATTTATCTGATTTCACTGAGCACTACAGAATCCACACTGGAGAAAAACCATTTGTCTGTGGAGAATGTGGGAAGGAGTTTACTCAGTTTTCCACTTACAAAAGACATGAGAGAATTCACACTGGAGAAAAACCATTTGCATGTGCCCTCTGCAGTAAAACTTTTAGATCTTCAGCAGATCGCACACGTCACCATCGGAGCCACACTGGAGAGAAGCCGTATGAGTGTGACCTGTGTGGAACATGTTTTTCCACAAAAGGAAGTCTTAATGATCACAAAAGAATTCACACGGGAGAAAAACCATATGAGTGTGATCAGTGTGGAACATGTTTTTCTATAAGAAGAAGTCTTAATGATCACAAAAGAATTCACACGGGAGAAAAACCATATGAGTGTGATCAGTGTGGAACATGTTTTTCTACAAGAGGAAGTCTCAAGCTCCACAGCAGAATCCACACTGGAGTAAAACCCTTCAGCTGTGACGTTTGTCATCAGAGTTTTTCTCACAGTGGTTCTCTCAAAGAACATCAGAGGATCCACACTGGGGAGAAACCATTTGTCTGTGAAAAGTGTGGAAAGTCTTATACTCGTGGGTCATCTCTTCGTGGACACATTAAAACCTGTGAGAAGCAGGGGCCGTATTCCTAAAGATTCTTTGTGCTAAAAGTTGCTCCTAGTGGCCAAATTCTAAGAATTTTCTTAGAAACTTGACCTACTCTTAGAATTTCCCCTAAAAGTGAAGAATAGATCCTAGTAAGGAAAAATGTCTATTCCTAAATAATCCTAGCCCCTAAGAGAGGTGGGATCTCTTAAGAGTAGAGAGGAGGACTTTTAGAGAATTGAAAGTTCCCTGAGAGGACAAAATGGCAGATGGAAGAGGCAGGAGTGATATTTTAAAAATCATGTTTGCGGTATATTGAAGGTTAATCATGTGATCAGCTTCTTATGGGCTGGTCAGCAATCACAGCTGCTCCATGTTACCCTTGTTACATGAAAGTAGGTAGAAAAAATGACCAGCCTGGTATTTAATATAAGCAAATAAATATAACTATTATTGTGTTAATACTGTGCAAGTGGGCCTACATTTTCACACATTCAGTATGAATTAATGAATACTTTATTTTGAGCCATGGCAAACAAGAAAAAGTAGAAAAAGTACAAATATACAGTTTTGTTTTATTAACAACAATCCAGCTCGAAAAGTAGTGGGAAGAAACGTTTAAACTCCCACCCTCTATATATTATTCTAAATGAACTTATTAAATTAAATGCTGTGGTTACGACAGCTTAGTCAATTTACAGTGATGCAACAGTGACATTCACAATAACATATAATATGTATATATTCATAGTTTTTTCCTTAATTCCTTATACGTCTTTACATTTTTATTTTAGATTAGAAAAATAAAATAAACATAGAAGTGTTTATTCTTTATTTTTTATTATGCCCTCTCTACCCTTACCTCTCTTTCTGACTGTTGCACCGAGCCAAAGACTTTTCAGAATCTGTGACTTCCTGTTACTTACGTGGCAATAAAAATGATTCTGATTCTGAAGTGTCACAGACTCAATAATAACATTGTCATTATCACCACATATTCATAATAATTATCTCTATCAAATATATTGTATGTATTAATTAAATAGATATATATCTATACATGTATGTATATTCTATTTTTTAAGAAATAATTCAAGGTTTTCAGGGAGAATCACCCAGCTCTGGATTTGTGACTAGTCTGTGGTAATCTTGGCAATAACTGGTTAGATACAAATCCCGTTAAAGCTCTCACTGAAATGTATTTACTGTGTACATGTTTGTCTGTTGTACACAGTGAGCTAGCTACGTTTAGCTTCATTTAGCTATCGATAGCAGCTAAGCTAACGTCCTCCCCGTGCTACTGTGCTTTCTCGTATTATCTGCAGTATTCAGGTGTTGTCATTCTGTTTTGTGCTTGTATTTAAGTTGTCATGTGTATATTTGTTTGAGAATCCCTTTCCATAAGTCTGGAGATTACCATCGAGTAATGAGTGACCGGAGTACTTAACTTTCTCCTCATCTGGTCTCAGACATGCGTACTTTTGACTTTGTAAACTGTTGGTTTTGCACTTAGCTTTTGTTTTTAATAAATCTGTGATTGTATCAAGACTTTGTTATCTTCACACACACACACACACACACAAACTCATACTCTCTCACACACACACACACACACACTGTAAAGAACAGCAGTTCTTTGTAAATAAATTCAATGTTTTAGAATTCAGTGTCCAAAAATGTGTTGCATTTCTTTTCGCTGCTTGAAATGTCATGCTTTATTTCCGGGTAAATCAAGAACAAAGCAATCGATCAGCCAATCCTCCATAGATGTAGCCAGGGCCAGAACACGACTGTCCTTGTTCATCTGAACATGGCGTCCACAGCAAACCAGTAAGTGTGTTTTCTCATCATTAGTTTGTATGTAACACGCAAACCACTACTATGTACTTTCTGAACATGTTTTTACCTTAGCTTATCATTGGCTAGCTCCGCGTAGGTGGATTCTACGTTTTGGCGATTCCCCAAAGCTAATCTTCGCTAATGCTAAGCTAAAATTCAACACAGGGAAGCCAAGTACATGGGGGGGTTTGTGGTTCTTGTGTGACGTATGTATCTCTCATCTCTCATTTTCTGAAGAAATATACAGCAGCAGTAACAGCAGCAGTAACAGCAGCAGTAACAGCAGCAGTAACAACAGCAGTAACAGCAGCAGTAACAACAGCAGTAACAGCAGTAACAACAGCAGCAGCAGCAGCAGTAACAGCAGTAACAACAGCAGCAGCAGCAGCAGTAACAGCAGTAA